CTCCAGGACAGGAGTGCGCTCAGCGAATTGTATGCTTGATTTGATGACTGTGGCTGCACCGCCTCGGGCATTGCCACTCGGATGGTTTGCGAAAATCAAGGGATATCTATTTATTTTAAAATAAGTTCTATCGGTGAAATGGGACCAGAGATTAGCATTATGTCTATATTATTTCTTTTAGGGTACATGTCAACCTCATGCCTACTTTTGCATAGGCCGATGACATTCTATAGGACCAGCTTTCGGCCTATTTGCATAATGATGCCAGGATAGTGTCCATCGTTCGCGTCATCTGGGCAAAGTGAGTATACGGCCGCTTAACTATCTAACCTATCTTTAAAAATAATATAACAATATATTTATTTTTTAATTTTATATAAAATTGCGCGGCTAAAAGTCAACTTACAGTCGGTGTTATTATTTATTTGTTATTGTTTTGTAACTGTCACAGTTGTCAACCTGAAACAGAAATAGCACTACCGATCTTTCCGAAATAGGACACGAACCCGTAACAGACCGCACAAATTGCAACCCATAAAGCGAGATTTACTCAAAAACAGGATCTCGATATCGATTTTTATCAATTGCTTGGAAATGAGGCAAGAAATCGATTATCGGAAACAAACATGTACCGCGCGGACACTAGGACGACCTTAATTCAAAGTCAAGCTCTTGTAGTCTCTAGTTCTTATTGTTTCTGAGATCCTTGCGTTTATACGTAAGGTCGGACAGACGGAAAGACAGATTAACTTTATGGGGTCGGAGATGCTTCTTTTTTCCTATTATCCATTTTCAAAGGAGTCTTTTTGTCGCAAGAGTCTTCTAAACTCGCTTTCAATTACGTAGCAAAGACCATTAACCCTCTTATATAACAATATTTATCCAATCTTCCTATCAGAAGTCTACTTGTATGTTTTCATGGAGCTGTTATCAACTTTCGATAGTCAAAGATCCCAATTGTGAAATGTACTGTGGAAGCGGAATTGGAACTTATCAAATGAAAAAACATCGATTACTTTTTGGTAAGAATCGATGAAAGGAAGATTACCATCGATATTTATACCCACAGACACCATATTCAGTTGGTTGGGCAATGGGAAGTGATCGTGTGATAAAAAAGAGGAAAATGTCGGCTTTGGAACAGCTTAAAACTATAACTACCATTGTTGCTGATACCGGCGATTTTGATGGTAAATTTGTTTAAAAGTTATCACTCATAAAATTATAGATTAAGTACTGTTTAAAGCTTATTAGTATTAATCATTTGAATATCGTTTTTGATTATAAATATGTTAATCTATGTTAATATGCCTATATGTGTAGGTACATATATATTTCAAAGGTTAAGTTTGTTGTATTTTATTATTTAAAACAGCATCCAATTGGGACATTCATTTTATTTCTATATGTACATACGTAAATGTATGTATGTACATATGTGTAACAAAAGTCGGACTCACCTTCGACTTTAACTTTTATTTGAACTTCAGGGGCTCAATGTTTTTATTAAATACAGCCTTTCTCCATATACATACATTAGAGACATATTGATATATGTATGTACATATATATGCGAATGTAGTTTATAAACGTATGAAGTTCATGAAGTTCAAATCAAAGTTATTCGAAGGTGACTCTGACTTTGTATGACCAAAGACAATATAAACATTCAGATAAGTAATGTCATACAACAAAATGTTACTATGCAGCATGATTTTCTCAAAATTGAGTACGCAATCGGTATCCTTCAAATTCAAAACCTACAAACCTACTACAAAGCGCAGAAGCTGTCAGTGATGGCAAACACAGTCGCTTGAAATACACGCCGTCCTTTAACACTCGATATCTGCAACGTGTTCGATGATTGAGAATTTTCATTAAGATGTGATTGCAATTGTATCACGTCTTAAAAATGTAGTCAACTTTGTACTTCAAGTGCAGTTAGAATCGCCATTGGGCTATTTTACGTTTGTTTTCGAATGTCATCAGAAAAAAAGAAGAATCAAAATAAGCAAGCTGCACAACAGAGAACACTTTGCACAAGTAACAAAAGCCTTTTGCATTAAGCAAAAAAAAATGCGAAATCTACAAACTGGTTAAAAGCGCAAAAAATACAAATATTTGGGAACACTAGTAAAACACGTCAATCATTTTCAAACTTAGAACTCATACAGTCTGTATGAACGCAATTGTTCCCGTGTATGTCTGCGCCTGAGAAAGGGCTAATATTTTTGTCCAATTTGGGCTAATCAGATTTGGCAGGTAGACTATTGAGGACCTTCTCTAAAAATCAGGAAAAAAAAAAATATATTTAAATACCAAATTGCTAAAATCTATATATATATATTTATGATCAAGAAGACGCCTTTCGAATGATTCGAACTGCAACGTTTTTATTTGTTTAATTCTTGGGTTTTTGAGACTATAAATTTGATCCAATGCAACTACCGATTTACCTATTATTACGACTTCATATTTATGTAATAAGAACAATTAGAAAGAAAATGGTTTGTATTAATTAATAATATAAGATAAGAAAGAAAAGTTGTCGTGGAAGTGCTGAAGATTAAGATTATCAGATATGAGATAAGTATATTTCTATATTAACCCAAACATTTGTGATTTTACTCGCTATACTAATTTTCACAAAATTTTACTTAGTAGTAAAAAAGTAGTAGTAGCTATAAAAAATAGTTATATTGTTTTAAAATGCTCCTAGCTGTGTCTTCTAATGATATTCTTCATTTTAGCCATAAATGTCTATAAGCCTACGGATGCCACGACTAACCCATCACTTATTTTATCTGCGTCGACTATGGACCGCTATCAATACATAGTACAAAATGCCGTCGATTATGGAAAAACTAAAAAAGGGTAATGTGCGTTTTTAATATTTATAGATATTAAGCAATATTTAACTTAATTATGTTTTTTCAATATTTCAAATGTTTATTTTTGTATTCTTTTTTATTAAAATTTAAAATTCCTTAATATCATTTGTGACAAAGGTGTTTTGACTTAAAGAAAATGATTATTTGTATCTAAATACCAGCTTACCTAACACTGTGTGATCCATTTATCTTTGAAATCAGTTTTTCAGTAAATTTCTGACAATATTTGGTATTTTCTTTTCAGATCGCTGGAAAATCAAGTATCCGAAGCTATGGATTACTTGTGCGTATTATTCGGGTGTGAAATTTTGAAAGTTGTGCCTGGTAGGGTATCTACTGAAATTGACGCGCGACTCTCATTTGATACAAAGAAAAGCGTGGAAAAGGCATTAAAATTGATTGATTTATACTCCACCTTTGGAATAAAAAAGGAGCGCATTTTAATTAAACTTGCCTCAACATGGGAAGGTATAAAAGCTGCCGAAATTTTGGAAAAAGAACATGGAGTTCATTGCAATCTCACACTGCTATTTACATTTGCTCAGGCGGTCGCTTGTGCTGAAGCTGGTGTTACTCTAATCTCCCCGTTTGTGGGTCGCATATTGGATTGGTACGTGGCTCACACCGATACCAAGAGTTATAAGGCTCAAGATGACCCTGGCGTCATTTCAGTTACGAGTATCTATAACTATTACAAGAAATTCGACTATAAAACATTGGTAATGGGTGCATCATTTAGAAATACTGGTGAAATTAAAGCATTAGCAGGCTGTGACCTGCTTACAATCAGTCCATCTTTACTAAAAGATTTGGAAAATGATGAAGAGGTACTGAAACCCGCTTTATCCGTAGCCTCTGCTAAACTCCAAGATATTAAGCAGATTTCTATCGATGAGAGTCAATTCAGATGGTTACTTAATGAAGATGCCATGGCTACTGATAAATTGTCTGAGGGTATACGGAAATTCGCAGTAGATACAGTGAAGCTGGAAAACTTAATAAAAAAATTGTTTAAATAATTTTCTTACAAACACATAAAATGTATAAACTTTAAAGTTTAACACACTGTTCCTTTCTATATTCTCTTCTAAAGACATACAAGATTATAAATGATTTTATAAATAAAGTTTTTTTATACAAAAATATAAATTTGGGCAGATTTTCATATCTTCGTTCTGAATAAAGCGTATGGTGCATGTTGGAAGATATTAATAGGCTAGCTAACTATACTCGGTTCTGATTATGCTAACATGCATGCACAAATCGAAACTGAACAGCCACAAAATGTCAAAGTGTGCAGCTGCCGTTGAGCTTAATGCGAACAATTTCTAACTTTGCCCTTTTAGTTTATGTTTAGTTGGTTTTACAGCGAAGCGAGTTGTGGTTCGTTAGGCATTTCGAAACAGGGCGCTTTGAACCTTGCCATAAACTGGACGGATTCAAGGCATACTTTTTTAAATTAACCTATGCTGAGCAAACTTCGCATATTTTTCCGCGGGGAATAGAAACGAACTCCAGCTCCGGATATCTTTCAGTATTTATTTTAGGGTAAATAGGCGAATATATCCAATCCAAATTAAATATTCTGAAGCTAGGCTTATATATAGTATCTGAGACTTTTATTTTAAAATAAATACTTAAAATACTATTGGTTATTTAAAATTCATAGAAATTCCAGCAGCTGCGACGAAACAATGCTGTGATGGACGCTATTTCATTGAACTTTGCTCGCTGGTGCTCCAGTTGTCCCTTGCCATGTCACGTGCGATTTATACAATTTATTTAAAAAATATGTTTTTATGCTGTTTAAATAAAACTCGTCAGACAGAATGATAATATTCTTAGGGATGTACTCAAAACTATTGGTTAATTCTTTTTTGGAACAGTATGGGATAGGAACTTCTCTCAGAGATTTTGTTTCGCAGTGCCAATATCTTGACAAAAGATGTTAGGTGCTAAATGTTCCTTAATGTGAATTGACTATAAGTGGTTACTTTTAAGTACTTTTTACTTTTAAGGGTTGAGTAAATAAGTGGTTACTTTTAAATACTTGGTACTTGTAGCGTGTTGAGTAAATATCGCTTATTTAAACAATGCGGTCTATGTTGACTATCAGATATAGATAGGATTTAGGCAAAAATAAAAATGAATGGGAAACGGATTAACAGGACTCCCTCACGGGGGGATAAAAAACGTTCGAAGAATAATAGTTTTATACAAAGAAGCCGGCAAATGGAACAAGCGCATAGGGTTGAAAGTCATTTTCAACAGACTATTGACGATGGAGCCAAAATTGCTGATGGCTATTTACCAATATTAAAGGATCAAACTCAATTTTACGAGCAACTTGTGAGTGGATGTAGTTTTGCAGAGAAAGGTATGGATAACATTTACCAGATTCACTTATCTGTCTATTAAATCCACATCTCATTTCCCTTAGTTGAAGGATTACCGAAACCCGTTATACAAGAAAGAAAAGATGACGTCGATGTGGATCAGGAACAAACATACACTACCGATTTAAATAATTCGTTTACGGATCGCTTTAATGTAGGACTAACCTCAGATGATATAACTGCAATACTTTCAAAACACACAACAGAATTAAAAGGCAAATGGTCTGCGATTGGCCATTTCAAAGTCGAACAACCACTTTTAAAAACTTCGCTTAGCCTAGATGGCATGTGCAAGCAGCCTCCAGAAGTTTTGAAACCCGCAGACCTTGAACAAATGAAAGTGCAAGCGCGCCTAGCCGCGAATATTTCCTATCCTCTATCTACTCTGCAGACGGAAATCTTCCATATTGCGAATAGCTACTTAGACCTTTATTATTCCCAGCGCTCTCATGATAATGCGGAGGAGATCCGATACGTATATTGCATTCATACAGTAAATCATATATTAAAGAGTAGAGCATTGATTTTACGTAATAATGAAACGATTGCTAAGCTCGTCAAAAGTCCACAAGAACTGCCCAGCGAGGTGGTATTACCAGATAGTGTGAGGGATCAAGGTCTTACACGAATGAAGGCTCTCATCGTATTGCCATTCCGAGAATCCGCTCTGAAAACAGTTCAAATAATAGCAAACCTACTATTTGGGAATCAGAAGGGTATGTATAATTAAAACAGAAATACAATTTAAAATCCGAGGTAAAATGGCATATTACCTATACAGAAGTGATCCTCAGATAACTTGTTTAAACTCATACCCATTGAAAATGGTGAAAGAGATTGTATGCCAATGTGTCTAACAGAAGAGTGAAAGCATCTCCAACCCCTAAAAGTATATACATATATACATATGTATATTCCCAGTCAGCATAACTATCCTATTTTATTTCAAATTAATTATATCGCCCAGAAACGATTAGATTTTCTAAGCTACTTAGATTTAAGAGTCAATGCACAGTCCACACCGAAAGATTTGTTGGGAGATATTTCGGGCCTAAATTCATTTTTAAGAATCTTTATGAAAATTCATTTGAGACATGTTTCATGTGAAAGATTTTTTGGGCCAAGCTTTAAGTTTTGTCCGATTTGATTCAAAGCCTTTTTTTAAAGCCCTTTAAGCCGTTGCAGGAAAGTTTTTAGTTCGGCTTCAAAATCATTCTCAAAGATCTTTGTGAACATTTATTTGAAGAGGCTTTAGTCGGGAGATCCCCACTAGGAGATACTCTGACCTCTCTCCTACATTTGCTTCTGTTAGGAGCTTAGAAGTTTGTAATCAATACGTTTGGTCAGATATTTAAAAATTGAAAGTTTTTCGTAGAAATAGGATTTTAGTTATTTGCTGTGTTTTCTGGAAATATCTAGAAAGCTAATATCTTTCAAATATATATGTATTACACTCGAGCGTCTCCGGAATCTGTACTACCTGCAAAAAAAAACGGATGCAGAGTTTTTTCAATTGTAGCAATCAAACTGATTAGTTCGTATTAAATCAGACACTGATGCTGTTTACGAATAATTTAAGGCTTTGTTTGGGGCGGAGATGTCTCCTTTTATGCGTCAAACGATTCTTAACAAAGTTTTATAAGTTTCAACTAAAAACCAAATGCCATTTTTTCTCAGATTAAAATCGTTTATGTTTTGCATATAATATATTATTATTATATTTTAATTTATTTTAATTTTTTAGATCCTAATACCGGCTATTCGATACCAAAGTTCGATCGATTTCTTTCTGAATTTTCTGGAAATACTGTATACTTTCCAAAAACTAATCCCAAACCATATGATTATGAAAAAACATTTAGCGGAAATACTGATGACAACTTTAAAATTGGTATTCGCTTGACCAAAAAAACGATGTCCTTATATTCCGACTTAAGCGCATCGGACATTTTAATTACATCTCCGTTGGCATTACGTATGCTTATCAATGATAAAGACAAGGACTTTGATTTTCTTAATTCAATTGAAATACTTATTATTGACCAAGCGGAGCTGTTTATAGCGCAAAATTGGGAGAATCTTCTCTATGTACTAGATCATTTACATATGCAACCGCAAAAGCTCCCTTCCACCAATTGTCAACGTCTACGATCATATTGTCTCGATGCGACGTCTCGGTTCTATCGGCAAACTCTACTTTTCTCATCGCATGAGCTTCCAGAATTTCGCGGAATAATAAATAATAAATGCCACAATTACCAAGGCAAAATGCGCATTATTAATCCGATTGAAAATGGTGATATGTGCAATGTACTGATCCCGGTCAAACAGGTTTATCAACGTATTGATTGCTCAAGCGTAGAGTCTGCTTTGGAAGATCGCTTTCAATATTTTGTACGACATGTTCTTCCGCAATTTACAAGAACGGGCTTCTCTCATTGTCTGCTGTATGTACCCAGCTATTTTGACTACGTTCGTTTAAGGAATCACTTTAAAAAAGAAATGATCAATTTTGTTCAGATAAGTGAATATACTAAAAAAGAAAAAATATCCCGAGCGAGAGACATTTTTTTTCATAGTGGTGCACCGATTTTGCTTTACTCAGAGAGAGGTCACTTCTTTCGACGCACGCGAATCAAAGGAGTTCGTCATTTAATATTCTATCAACCTCCAAATTTTCCTCATTTTTACTCTGAATTGTTAAATTTAATGCTGGAAATTAATCAAAACCCGCGAGATGGCTTACAGGACAACATGAGTGTTAAAGTCTTTTACACCAAATTTGATTTACTAAGCTTAAGTAATATAATTGGAAATGCGAATGCGCGGAAATTGACGGCACGCAGCAAAAATTCATACGTATTCTCGCATTAAGAATAATACCACAACATTTAAGACTTGGCTTAGTTCATTTAAAAATTGTATTATATGTAAAACAAAAATTGATTCGCTTATAAAAAAAAATGATGGAATAAAATCTTCTGTTTGGTTGAGTTCCCTATCAGACAGATGTAAGTTCTCTCAGTCCTAACCAACAATTTGGACTCATCTTAAATGGATAAAAAAGAAAGAAGAAGAACATCAACAAAGTAAACTGCGCAACAAGCCTGTTTTTCCATAAGCGGAGTTACGACACAGCCCAGATTTACTCAACAACAAATGTCGCAGCATACAACGCCGCCGCCGATGGCGGCAGCAGAATAACAAAAATTTCAACAACAGCGGAAGCTGAATACAACGTCCCCACAGACAGCAGCTACTGGAAAATTTTTACAACAACAAACAACTGAAGCGGCATAAAACGTCACCACCGACGACAGCGGTAGAATAAAATCAGCAATAACGTAAAAAGTTCGTAAGAATTAAATAAAAGCATGTAAGTAGACCCCGCGTTGATATCCTTTAAGTTTATAATGCAAACAATGCTATCACAAAGCTAAATTTCAAATCTGAAAAATTTTATAACTCTCCCAGTAAAATTATTTTGGCCAATTTCTAAAATTTGTGCAAAATTCTTAACCGTGTACGTGGCAAAAATTAAATACAAAGTTTACATTTTAGTTTATTTTATTTTTAGATTTATCAATAAAACATAAATGATCCACTTAAACCGCCATTAAAAACAATACTAGAATACATAAATACCTTAGCTATGAATGGTTTTCTAAATAAAATTGATAATTACGTTAACATATTAATATTTAATTCGTACTACATCTTAATAAATATTATAATATTAACGTTAAGGATTTTTAATAAGTTAGGATTGAGGTAAGGCCCATAATGTTGCAGTCTTGTCCGCAGATGTTGAAATAAAAGAAAATTCGGTTGGATGCCATCTTATTGTAATAGCCTTGTCTTTGTGCTTTGCTACAACTACAGATGCGAGGTCACTTGCAAGATCACCTTGCAAATCCGTAAGTCTTATGGTGTTATCATAGCTACACGTGAGCATATAATAAGCAGAAGGAGAAAAGCGTATGCATCTAAAAAAAAAGATGAGACAACAATTTGAAATTTAAAAACGCATTGTCTTAAAATGTAAAGTTGCTCCGTTTTTAAGCAATCGATAAAACTCGATATCGAAATCCTGCTTTAGGAGCAAATCTCGGCTTGAGAAAGTAGCGAGTTCTTCACTGGCATTTTTTTTTTTTTTTGTAAAAATTGTAAAGCGGAAGCAGGGTATCCCCAAGTCGAATTCTCCCGACTAGAGTCTTAATTATTTTTGGATCGCTTACCTTATTTCTGCGCTGTGCGGATAGAACCGTTGTATAAGCCTATTTCCACGGATGTCGTAAAGCACACAAGCGCTATCTGCGTGTCCTGAAACAAGTAGTCGCCCTGTCGGGTCTACACAAACCGCTGTTACAGGCGACTTTTGGAAAGCGTCGGTCTTGTACTCATCAAACGAGTTGATGACACCATTTGATCGAATGTCCCAAAAGCGTATTGTTTGATCCTGTGGGTTATTTTTTGTGTCAACATGTCTTTAGTATGGATTAAAATTTTAAAATTACCTGAGATCCAGATGCGAACGTTGTATGGTTCCAGCTATAGAGTGATGAAATATGTCCAGAATGTCCACTAAACACCTGTACCGGCATGCCCGTCATACAGTCTGTCACGTAGATTTTACAGTCACCAGCACCTCCGCTAGCAAGCAATCGTGATTTTGATGATAAATTGTCAAGAAAACACATATCCCTAACAGTTCCGTCATGCATATTGAGCTCAACTTCCTGTCCCACTAGTTGATTCGTATCTTTGCTAAACCTCATATATTTTATGGTTTTATCGTTTGACCCGGTTGCAACAAGTTCACCATCCGCTGACCAGCATATGCAATATATTGAGCCTCGATGGTGTTTTGTCCGTTTGCATAAGACGGATGGAGGATAAAAGTGTTGATCTTGTCTGGCGGTTTGTTTATAAATGAACATCATTATGACAGTTTGCAAGTAAACGGAATGAACATTACCTTAGCTTGGTTATTTGGGGGTATTGACATATTCGAAAGGTTTTTGAGTTCGACCCGACCGCATAGTGTTGTCCATCGGGGTGAAAATCCACACTTCGAATAGCTTGTGAGTCAGATATGGTAGTAACAGCTACAAAATGTGAGCCTTCTTTATCTCTCTAAACCAAAGTAAAACGATAACTCGAAATTAATAATAATTTGTGAGATTGATAAAAAGAAAGAAAACAAGAGGTTCTAGTCGGAAGTTGCCGACTAGGGGATACCCTGAACTCTCTTTTACCAACACCAAATGCAGCTTGTGTTTTTCAACTGATTTTGATTAAATTTTCAGCGGTAGATCTTAATATAATCTCATATAATCATATAATCTCAAAAATACAATTGCATTGAAATTGTCACGCGTTTAATTGACAAGCCACAAAGCTAACATTCTACACAAGTTAAATCGAACATCGATTCACGATGAGAGCCCGCACCCGGAACACCAACAACAACGGAGTGATCAGGACGCCTACCAATACTATACTGGATTCAGCGTGAGATGCAACTTGCACAATGGCACCCAACCGCAATAGCAACCTTAACTTTACCGAAACTTTTAGTTCCTGCGAGACAAAACGGGCAACGGTGTCGCCCAAGCCAAGATCGGGTCGACGCCGACATACACATGACTCGGTAATAGGGTATCCACTGAAGGTAGACGGTGGCCGGATCGTCGCGACGGTGAAGATTGGCGTGCGGACGATGCCTGCGACTATCGACATCGGGGCCACTCGCAGCTTCATGAGTGAAGATTGCGTGTGCAAGTGGGCAATTCGGGGAAGAGCGTAGGACGTGCAGACGCGCATTCGTCTGCCAGATGGATCCACGCTGGAAGTAAGGAAGGCATTGTGGTAAGCCGTGGGCCTAGCGGGGAAGGTGATCAGCATGTCGATGCTCACCATGCTCTCTATGCTAGACCAAGTCATCTTCGGAATAGATTTCTTGTGTGCAATGGGCACCACAATACGTTGCGGCAATGCCGAATTGGTCCTGGAGACGGTGGTCCTAACGAACCGAAAGAAGGCCGCCCACATCAGGGAAAGCGAGTGCCTGCTCGGCAGCCGAATGGGAAGGATACGAAGAAGGAAGCGAAGTAGGGGCCTCACTCAGAATCGGACCGAGCGCACTAGGCACTCTTCGAGGGTCTGCAGGGGGTCTCGCATATTGCGGAGGTCCAGATCCGGCTGAAGGATGACAAGCCATTGAAGCAAAGGTACTACCCGAATAATCTGGCCATGGAGAGGGTGATCAACGAGCAGGTAGATGAGCTGATCCAGGCAGGTGCCATCGAGCTGTCGCGTAGTGCACACAGCGCCCCAATCGTTTTAGTCAAGAAAAAGACTGGCGCATGTGCATCGACTACCGGTAACTGTATGCGCAGTCCATTCCGGATGCTTACCCTGTCCCTCGAATAAGGCACATCCTTGATTTGAAGCACGGTTACTGGCAGATACCGGTGGCAGCCAATTGTTGGTAATGCACGGCATTCGCGTTTCCGGGAAGAGTTATATTCCAATGGCGGGTGATGCCATTTGGACTACATTCGGAGTGTGCGCACTTCCAGCAACCGTTGGACATGGTAATAGGGCCGGAAATGGAGCCTCATGCGTTCGCCTACCTGGATGAAATCGTGTTGAGAGGGGCGACACGAAAACAACATGTCGAGAATCTGAGGGAGGTATTCCGCCGGTTGAGGGCAGCACACCTTAGGCTGAATAAATGTAGCTTCTTCACGGAGAGGCTGGTATATCTTGGACATGTTATTTGCGGGAAGGGGATACGGACTGATCCAGAGAAGGTGGATACGTAGCCTTAGGCCCCCGACTAATTGTAAGAAATTGCGGCAATGTCTCGGGATGGCTTCGTGGTTCAGGCGTTTCGTGCCTAACTTTGCGAATTAGGTACAGCCGCTGACGACGGTCCTAAAGAAGGGGCGGTAATGGTTATGGGGTGAGGAACAGGAGGTGGCATTGGTTCAATTGAAGGATAGCTTGACGACTGCCCCTGTGTTAGCACGTCCAGACTTTTCCGCCAAATTCGTCTTGCAGACTGACGCGAGTGAATATGGCTTCGGTGACGTGCTGACGCAGACGATAGAGGGGCAGGAGCAGGAGTGATAGCAAACGCGATTCTTAAGTTGCTGGAAGCTGAGGGAAGCTACTCTACCACCGAGAAGGAGTGCCTGATCGTGTGGTCGATCAGGAAGTTGCGTTGCCACCTGAAGGATTATCATTTCGACGTGATAACGGATGGCTCTCAAGTGGCTTAAGAGAGCCCTTTAGGGAGGATCGCGCGGTTGGCATTAGAACTGCAACAATTCCAGTTCGATGTTCACTACCGACGAGGGAAGCTCAACGTCGTTGTTGATGCACTATCAAGGCATCCTCTAGAGACCTGTCAGGAAGCATTGTGGCCGAGCCCCCCCTGCAAATGGGTCGCGAGTAAGCGTGCCAGGATGGCCGAAGAACCAGCAAATTTTTCCGAGAAGAAGAAGAAAATGGGAAACTGTATAGACATTTGGGCCAAACTATGTATGACCAGTGGTCAACGTTAGAGGGTATTGCAGTAATGTCATGATGCTCCCACCGCCGGAATTGGAACTACCCACCAATTTAAACCACAATTTTGATGCAAATGCAATTTTGAATATACGAATATTCTATAGCACAATAAGATTTACTCTTGAAAATTTCACCAAGAACGATTAATAAACAGAAAAGTTATTAAAGAAAACGTGATTATATTGACACGTGTTTGCGGCAGCTCGCGCATATTGCAATAATTTCTGTGTACATGTACACACGCGAGCTGCATTTGGTGTTCGTAGAAGATGGTTCAGGGTATCCCCTAGTCGGGAAATCCCAAATAGGCCCTCTTACTTTTTGTATACTGATCCGAGTGGTTTTGTTCAAATGTGTGTAACACGCAGAAGAACCCATTTTCGACCCCATATATAAGATATTAAAGATATATCTGAAATATATTTATATTATTTTTTTATCTACCACCTCACCATATTTGGTTGAATGAAGTATCTCCAAGCTGGGCGCTTTTGTGTAGATAACTCTCACTTGTTTATACGCAATTCACAAGCAGAAATAACCTATTTTTACAATGTTAACTTTTATTGTCGCGTTCATACAAACGGACAACAACTTGTAAGGTATACAATTAAAGCTCACCAATAAAATACGACACCTGAACTAAATGCATACTTTTTGTTTTGTATGCATATAAAGAAATCACATTTTACTTACCTCTCTCATGTTAGTCTCCGTTTTGTTAATATTCATTAATATTAAGCTAATAAATTAAATATATATTTATATATATATTAAGGAGATTTTATATTTAATATAAAATGTGTTACAAATATATTTTATACTCAGTTGCAAACTTTTCAATAAATGGTAATGTCCAATACGGATATTGTTTTTTATTAAAGCACATTCAGGGAATTGTAGTCTGTTGCAGCATATTTTCTCGTCTTAGCTCAGATTCTCATCGCTATTTTTGACTTTTGTTACACTGTGAGCAGAGTTTTCCGATGTCCTTTGCCATTGCGAGTAGTCCTGCAAATAGGAAAATACTAATAAGAGCCGCAATTTTAGACGTATTTCTATGCTTAACACTTTTTATAAGGAAGTCTTAAGTGAAAAAGATTTTGTAGACATATTAGGTTAAAATTGAAGCTTGTATAAACTAAGTTTGGTGAAAATATCTTGAAAGCAGGATCCAACGATCTTTTGTCTCTGAGATCCACGCGTTCTTATAGAGACAAACAGACGGGCATGTTTAGATCGACTCGACTACAGACTTTACGGGCTCGGAGATGCTACCTCTAACCTGTCACATACATTTACACAAAACCATTTGGTACCCTCAAATATCCTATTAAGTCATAGGTCGAAATGTCCCACTCCCATGCTCGGACATATTTCATCCGTTTTTTCCGAGGTTTGGGTCTTTGTTAATGTCCTGGCCTCTAGATCAATTCGGCGTATTATATTGGCAACATTATTCCTGGTCAAAATTCATGTAAAATGATACCCTCAAATATCTTATATAGACATAAGTCGAATTTCCCATATATTCTACATGTACTTGATCTCAGAACGTAATGGCAATACGATTTCATTTTTCGCGTGCAGTGGAAACCAAATATAAGACGGTCATGAAATGTTCATTTCACTCCCAGTTCGCGTCAAGTGGATATAAGTCTTAAAAATGATATTCGTCAAATAATATTGCCAACACTATTAGTGAATTTCAATATCGCAAAGGTTCTACTGTTCGAATTTATTGAGTTTTTTACATATGTACACATAAGTTTATGTACACACGCCTATATATGTATGGCAATTGATCTTGTGGATGGTAGAAGCGACAGCCCTGTCGACTTTGCGCGACAGCCCTGTCGCCTCTTTAAGCTGGTTTGCAGACAAGGTGCAGTCTTACCGTTTTTTGGCTGTGACATAGTGATATCGATAATCGATAACTTCCCCTGTTCCCAGGCAGTCGATAAAAATCAACATCGAAATCCTGTTTTTTAAGCAAATCTCTTTGGTTTGAAGAGCTACACATACATATTCATGCGCGTCCTTATTGAATTCTATAAAAGTTGAGGAAACTTTATGTTTAAACTTATTATTATTTCTCCTAAAGCAAATGATCTCGTAGCGCGAGCTGCATTTAGTGTTGGCAGAACACGGTTCATATATGTATGTATGTATGTATGTATACATATAATATAAATATATATATATGTATATACAAAATAATAATATATATGTGTATACATATGTCTTTATTTATATATGTATTGAGTTTTATATAAATATATATATATATATATATTTCGTCTATATATGTATATATATACACGCAATATATATATATATATATATATATATTTATGTACATATATTTTTTTATATATGTATATGTGCGCCTACAGATATTATACATTTACATACATATATAAACCATACATATATTTATGCGCTTACAAATGCTTTGGTTTTAAATGTACGTACGTATATGTATAGACGTCTGTATATATATACATATACATACATATATACATATGTATTCTCTTAAGGTTTTTCTAAAATATGTTCGGTATCCATACTTAATACGCTAAATAGGTTTTCAGTTACTTTTTTCATTAATACAACAGTATTTCCGCCAACTTGCGCTCCAAATTATATACAGTAGAAAATTGGTTTCTGTTACTCATGCGCCTTCAATATGATAGTTTAATTTTATTCGTACAATGGAAAAGTTCACAATATAGTAGTAAAATAAAAAAACAACAAAGCTGATAGTTAATCATTAATATTAAAGACACTTTGTACATTTTTCGGGAATCGGTAACCTTGAAAGAAAGCGTTTACTCAAGTAAATACAATTTTCAAATACAAAAGCACGTTTGCGTATAGTACAAGTATTTGTTATACATAACATACATAAATATACATATATATATATATAGGCATGTAGATAAGTTTGTGGAAGTCCAATTTTGTTATATTCATTCGATTTATTTCGGGGTGAATATATATGTACATATGTGTATTTTGGTGCATATGTACATATCTATATGATAACATGCATTTGTATGAAGTAATTTTACTGCTGGACGAGATAAAAACTATTACAAAATGTTTACTTTATAACGAAAAATGCGTGTGTTCCATCAGGCTCTGTTATAGGAATCTGACAATTTAAAGTTTAAGCCTAATGCGAGTCCAATATAACTGCAAACTAATGTTTATATACGTACATGTATACACACAAATGTATGCACATACACAACAATTGTAGGAAGATTAAATAATTGTAAACATCAATTTGTATGTAAACCTCGTAATTACTTAGCTTGGTGAACAACTCTTGAAAACCGAAGAAAATGTGCAACACAGGAATTTAATTCTATTGTGACTATAGTTGTTGGATTTTGATAAGATCTTGTTTATATGTAAGAAACATTCCTGGTTTTGTCAGAAACAATAACTTAAATATGATAAAAAGATTTGACCCGGCCGGTTCTGTACTTCCTGCGACAGGACCAAACCTATACAAAGTTTCATTATAATAGCTTTACAACTGAGAAACTAGTTTGCATACTGATTTCGTAAGAAAGTTGTAGAAAACCCTCCAAAAAAGGTAGAAAAATAGGTCAACTCCATTCTATGCATAGTATATGTTACATAATATCTGTAGACATTAAACTGTTTGTCCTGTCTGACCGACTGATTGGTTATCAACGCACAGCCCAACCCGTACGAGATACGTAGCTGAAATTTTTACTATAGTTACCTTATGTGGTGAACCTTATGCGGTTCACGCTAAGACGGGTTTTGGGGAGTTTTAACGTTTGTCTTATATGATTTAAACATATTTTCTAAGAATTTAATGAAATCGTGTTTCGGCGATTTTGGAAATTCCACGCAACTGTGGAAATTAAGCGGAAAATTTGCAAAATTTTTAGTTTACCATCAATTTCAAACTGATTTTCATAGATCAAAGCAGAATTTATTTGATACTTTTTCGCAAATTTCATAGCTCTTTAAAAAAACAAAAAGTTTTTATTTAACTTAATTTTCGACCGATCGTTCCTATGGCAGCTATATGATATAGTAGTCCGATGTAAATAAGATTTTGCTTAAATGTAGGAAGCATAGTGAAACCTATAAATAGCGAGTTTGGTCAAGATATCTAGAAAAACAAAAAAGTTTTCCATAGAACAACTTAATTTCCGATCGATCGTTCCTATGGCAGCTTTATGATATAGGGGTCCGATGTTGATAGGATTTAGCATATATATGAGTAGCATAGTAAAACTAATAAATATCGAGTTTGGTCAAAATATCTTAATAAACAAAAAAGTTCTTTATACAAGAACCTACTTTTCGACCGATCGTTCCTGTGGCAGCCATATAATATAGTGGTCCGATCCAGCCGCAACGGAAAAAGACACTTCTTTCCTTAAAACTGAGAGACATGACTATATTGACTCGGCTGTTGATACTGCTCAAGAATATATATACTTAATGGGGTCGGAAATGTCTCCTTCCATGCGTTACACATTTGACAACAAAATTATAATACCCTCTGCAAGGGTATAAAAACAACGAATACGAAACTACGAAGGTATTCTAGGACGCCTTAACATAACGGTAGCTCGGCGAAGGTTCAATAATATCTCCATGGAGTCGGACACTTCCGATTAGAGCTCTCTTTATTGTTTCTATTGAGTTGTTTTTAATTGAAATGCAATATTTATGTTTTTCAGACCCACAAACATGCCAGATAGATTTCAAGTCACAAAAACCGACGAAGAAACTGTATTGGATTATCTTCAAGATGAGTCAGCAAGTGGCAAGCTTTTAGGAGATACACTGGATGATTTACAAAGTGGTCAGTATTATTTTCTTTTTAATTTTTCATATAAGTGTTACACATTTAAGTTCTGTTTCTATTCTATATAAAATGTGTTCATGATTAAGATTTGGGTTCATTGTCCGATCTTTATGAACCAAAATTACAATTTTCTTGCGAACGGGCGGTAATATACGAAAGTGAAATTATCACGAGCTCGAATCAATTTTTTAGTGATAAATATTTTTTCTTTAAGTTGATATAATTGTAAATAAGTATTATTCATTAATATAAGCTTATGTGTATAAGTTTTAAGTATTATGTATACACTATCTAAAAGATAAAAAAGTAAGAGCTGAAATCTTTTATATAAGTTTGCAATTAAAAAGGTTGCGTTTTTTCGAAATCATCAACAACCTTAGATATTCTGTTATGCAGGTTGCTTAAGACTAAAAAGTTATGAACGGGTCGAATTTCCGTTTTTTGAGAAAATCTCTATAGTGGTAATAACTAGAGTCAGAAAATTTGATATGTAGCTCCTAAAAAGTGTAGACAATTCAAGTATCTTTAATTTAATTTTTTAGCTATCGCCACCCGCACGCCTCCGTCCCATAGGTTAAATAAATAATTTAACTGGAACTACTAACCAATTTAAGCTACAATTTGAATGCAATTGTCTTTTTGAGAATATTCTATAGCACAATTCTATGGCAGAATAAGATTAATGCTTAAGCAAACGAGCGCATAGCGCGAACTGCATTTGGTGTTGGTAGAAGAAGGTTCAGGTTCATTAATTTGGGCGTTAAACGTCACCCACCAAATCTTTGACCCACATTTCTACCAAGGAGGGATGGATTTTCCAAAACGTGTGAAACACCCTTCAAATGAATTTGAACAAAGATCTTTGAAAATGAGTTTGAAGCCGATCGGTTGGTAAACAAAAAAGTTGCATTCGAAGGTTTTTCGCGTTTTTTCCACACATGCGGGTGGAATTAATTACAGTAATCAACCCATGGGAGAATTCCTTTTTAAAAGAGTCCTTATTCTACGGCTTAGTTCCTGCATTAAAGCGAATTAAAGATTTCATTTTAAACCTACTACTTCAGTTCGGAAACTGCATTCCACGAGCAAAACTTTTAGATAGGAATCTCCTCTAATGGGAAGTACAGAAAGGTGTGCATTGAATATATATACACAGATACACACTTACATGTACATGCATCTATTTTACTCCAATGCATGGATGTAGTATTGTGTTAGCTGAAGGCCAGTTTTATTTAATGTAAATCCTTTGTTAATAACAATATTTTCATATATGCATGCAGTCGAGACTAAGTTGCAGTTGTCCCGGTGACATACTTAGCCCCACCTGCACCTTAAAGCTCCTGTTAGAAAGCTTTGAGAGCAGCTAAGTACCGTAAGCTTTTTCCTGTCATTGTCAGCGGATGCTGTGTGAGAGGACTTTTTATGTATATACATTGAAATGTGTGGGGCCAACCAAATACAAATACATGTACATCTATCTGCAGTGGCTCTCTCTTGTTGTCCTCCAAAAACAGGGTGAAATTGTGTGTAGATAAAAGCTTTCGTTTTCATCTCAATTTTATCGCTCAGAGCCCTGGGCAACAAATTTTTATTTGGCAGCATACAAACCGTTTTTCTTAATCTTTTCTATAAATCCATTTAACAATTAATCAACTGCACATTATTTAAAAAACTACAAAAATTAAATTATATTGAAAGTCGAAACAACGTGTTAAAATATCAGGTTCTACAAAAATCACTAAGCCTAGTTTTATTAATTGGCAAAGTTATAATTGTTAAATATCTTAATGAAAGTGCGTTCAATAACAAAATCAAAGACGAATCGAAGCTGGTTTTAATAATATTAAATAGCAATTCCCCATAAAATTGTACATTTCATAAAGTTGACTATTTGCTCGTTTGCGTTATTCAATATAAGCTCATTACAGGCTTATTATTATTGACCTACATTTTTCTGTTTCACATTGCATAGGCTGCTTGAAGAACTCTTAACTTTTATTTAAGAGAACTGAATTTTTTCTTTAACCTAATCATTTCTATAGTCATCTAACAAAGTGTTTTTTTAATAATATGCGAACAAATATTTAGAGTTGTTTAAATGTTGTTCGTATTATGACCTAAAGTGTTAGCTAATTTTAAGTGACAATCGTGATCTGGGCGAAGTGTAAAATTTGCATTAAGCGGTAACATGCAATGTAACAGTGAAAAGGAAGATGCCGATGAAATGAATAGTACGCTATCAGATCAAAATGGAACACGACACGACAGAAAACATTCAGGTATGAAAAATGTATATGCAAATGTAAAACATGTACAGTGCAATACAGAAAAATGTTAATGATTGAAAGTAAATCTTAGGCTCTTGTTAACATTCGATACCTGTGTCGGTATTTTCATTGCGATTTAGAAAAAGTCCAAAAAATCCAATAGACAGACATCTGATTCGTGGGATAAGCTATCGCTTGATAATATCTAAATGTAGATTAACTATAAATTTCAAACCAGCATGGCAAAACTCGAATTTTCCCAACGACGCCCTAAACTACCCACAGATGCAATCGAGCTTCGCATATCGGAGGAGGAGTACTCAATATAGCTGTTGAGTCTACTCTTCCGTCGGAGCCTACTGAGCCTCTCATCTTAGGGGTTCAGTTTGAGGGTGTTTTTTATTTTCCTTTTTTTATTTCATTTCTCCTCCCGACGTTCTGATAATAACTTGGCGACTTTAATCTTCTTTGACACTGCCTGCCTCTGACTTTTTTTTGTATTATTCACGCTTTTAAATCCATCTCCTACCTACTCTCAGATAAAAACTTCTAGGTCGGTCCTGACGACTTTAATCTTCTTGACACTGCCTGGTTGTCGGGTTGAGTTGTCCTTAATCCAATGCGTCAGTCAAGAGACACATCTCTTGATTTGAAATTTGTTTGGATTCATTCAGCAGCTTTCTGGTTGGAACCGTTTGTTTTCGAAGGTCTGCTTTTTTATAAGCCCAACGTTCGCATTCCAATCCAACTGGTCTCAATTGTACAATTGTAAGGAGATTCTGTTCCCTTAAATTCTTCGGTAAAGTTTGCAAATGAGGTTGCGAGCTACCTACCTGCTAGTTCCTAGGGGCACAATAAAGGTCATCTTTATCCACATCAGTAACAGACTGAATTTTAGATCCTATTATCACGGAAAGGTCACTAGTCAGGGAACTTAATATAATCAAGCCGATATACTAACCTGGTAATGATGGGGTACCCGCTTGTCAGCTTAGCAAGTGTGCTACCAAACTTTGTTGCTGAAGAAAGCGTATCCGAATAATGTATATATACTCATGAACAGGATGATGAGCTAAGTCTTCTTGGCCATATCCGCCTGCCCATACATAAAATTTGGTATGTAGGCTTTCGTACTTACATAAATGGAACATTTCTAAATTTATGCTCTTAAAATCTCATGAAGCTTAGAGAACAAAAAAAGGAAGTTGTGTATCGTTAATTTTTAATAGGGAGGCTGCGCAGGCTGCGAGTAACGCACGGAAAACGTTTGTCTGCAAGTTTTTTGTTAACCATCCGATGGGCATCAAACTTATAAGCTCGATCTTTAGATTGATAATCTATCAATGTGTTAAATTTAGTGGCTCCAGCTTTAAGGCTCTGGACGATTTAACATTTATCTAAGTTTTTATTTTTTGCAGCAACACATCAGTTACGTTTAAGCTAATGAAATAAGTTTCGATGCTTTCAGATTCGCGTGATGTCCGCATTGTAGAAGAAAATCAGAAATCAAGCATCGACCCCAATTTGTACCTCTATGACGATGACTTGGAGACCAGGCCGCATATTTCGACTTTCATTTCATCAATTGCCAATTATGAAAACACGATACCAGCGGCCACCGATCCTGATGCGAAGCCACCACCGCCATCGGCTCGAATGGGTATGATAAATAAATATCAATTTCTTGTACTTGCCTAGGTTAATGTTGCATTTAATGGAGACAGAATGTGGTGTTAGTGTTTGATATTATTGGCAGCGTCGATATCATTTTTGTTGTGTTGTGTAGTCAGGGTATCGGGGCTGAAATCGAAAGCATACGATTATCCAATTAGCGTTTGGGTGGCAACGCCATGAACTTCTGATGGACAAAACCCCAATTTTAATAAACTTCATTAAATACAAGCTTTACATATAAACACATATATTCATATATTGTTATCTACAAAATGGGGACGAATAAAGAAATCAGAATTCGGTAAAGTTAATCATGCCGGGCAAACGTAAAAAAAAAACTTAAACTGCAAAAGAAAAAAAGATCTAGAACCATGCCTAAGGACGACAGCCTGGCCGATCAAATTTATCGCGGGCCGGAGACCCTGAGCACAGCCAGGCCTAAGCGACGCAGCAGGGAAGATGAAGAGGCGAGCGGCAAGAAGACTCCGACACCTCACCTTCTAAGCAACTGACGAAGTTATTACATCCATGTTTTATATCCATGTTGAGGCGCAAATTGCGTCGCTATTGATGCGCTGCTTCAGATCCTGTAATACCTTCTGTATCTTGCACTCCGTCTTGGGACTGTCCATTTGATGGTTCCAGCTGCTGATGGTTCAGAGAAATTTGAACAGTTTATAAACTTGCGACGACCGAGCGTGAGACCAAGGTTTGGTTTCATGGGCATGGCACGTGCTATTTGCACCTTCTGCCTCATCTCGGCAAACTTCATGACCAGCATCATCACTCATCACTTTTAAACGATGTCCATTTTTAATGTTGTATTGATTAGAGAAATGTTCTCGGTTTTCTTTTTTCCTCTTCATGCGTTTTTTTGTGTTTGTGAATAAATATAAGTTATTTCAAATTTATGTACATTTTACAATTCTTTTTTTTTAGGAACGCTTATTGGGGTCTTTTTGCCATGTATTCAAAACATTTTTGGTGTAATATTATTTATTCGGTTAACTTGGGTTGTTGGTACAGCTGGAGCAGTTTGTGGATTCTTAATTGTGCTGACATGTTGTTGTGTGGTAAGAATACAATACTTTTAACACTTTAAATTAACACTGAGTATTACGAATTATTTCAATTTTAGACAATGCTTACTGCGATATCAATGTCAGCGATTGCAACGAATGGCGTTGTACCCGCAGGAGGCAGCTATTTTATGATATCACGGTACGTTAAACATTTACAAACACCAAAGAATGACCAAAGAAAATCGAAGTGTGTTAACAGATCTAGGATCTTGAGTATATTGCTGACTTACTCATCGCACACCTTAAATACGCCACCTTACGAAAATATTTGAATATGACGGTTAGGCCATTTACTAGTGTTTCATCACGTATACAACAAGTGAGAGGGCTTTCGTCCGACGTGCCCGACTAGAAGATACCATAAAGTAAGGAGTTTCGAAAAATGTACTTCGATAGACAAAGATAGCTACTTTGATTTTGAAATCACCAGCAATACTACAAGACTAAGAAATGTGGTATCTCTTGAGTTCTTATTAAAGCTAGGCTTATGCTGCAAGGCAAATAAAGGTGCTATCCACAATTCCTCCATTCCTTACGAAGATTAGATTCATAGACTTCGTCGATCGACAAATCGCCTTTACTGCTTATATGCACGCTTTTTCCTGGTTTCTTAAGCAGGAAAATTATTCTTCTAACTATTTAATTAAGACAAAATACCCGTAGCTGCCGACTTCCTTGACAGCATATTTAGACAGCTCTTCTACATTGAAGACACATGTCGTTGAAAAATTTGACTTTAATTTATATAGATCGCTCGGTCCTGAATTTGGCGGTGCCGTGGGGATGCTGTTTTATACGGGGACGACGTTGGCAGCTGCTATGTACATTGTTGGAGCTGTTGAAATTGTATTGGTAAGAAGTTGTATATGATAACATGTGTTTATTGTATAATAATATGTATTATTTCAATTATTTCGCAGACATATATGGCACCGTGGGCATCCATTTTTGGAGACTTTACAAAAGATGCTGAAGCTATGTATAATAACTTCAGAGTTTATGGTAGTCTACTTCTGGTATTTATGGGTAAGTAAATTGATATTCTCACTCGCATCTGTAATTTATGATACAAGCAAGACAATTTTCTTCTTTATAAGGTTTAATTGTTTTTTTGGGTGTTAAGTTTGTCAACAAATTCGCAACAGTTGCACTGGCCTGTGTAATATTTTCTATAATAGCCGTATATATAGGAATTTTCGACAATATTCATGGAAATGAGAAGTTATAGTAAGGTGCTTATAAATATAGGTTTGAGCATTTGAATTTAATATTCGTCTTTATTGCAGCCTATGTGTACTTGGAAAGCGACTTCTCAAGGATATTCCAATTGAAAATTGTACAAAAGAAGATCCCATTATGGTCGATATGTATTGCCCAGATCGAAAATGTGACGAATACTACCTAAGTAATTTACATATTTGTAGATAATATATTTACTTTTTTAACCTATCAGCTTATCAACAGATAATAACGTGACCAAAGTAAAGGGTATAAAAGGTCTTGCCAGTGGCGTATTCTACGACAATATTATGCCATCGTTTTTGGAAAAAGGACAATTTATATCATACGGACGTAACTCAGTTGATATCGAAAACATTGGAAGTCAGTCATATAATCAAATTATGGCTGACATAACGACGTCCTTCACGCTACTTATCGGTATATTTTTTCCGTCTGTCACAGGTAACTTAATATTTAGAACCCGAAAATTAAAATTAATTTACTAACTCAAAATGAATTATTATAATAAATTAGGCATCATGGCCGGCTCCAACCGATCGGGCGATTTGGCTGACGCCCAAAAGAGTATTCCAATTGGCACAATTTGTGCTATTTTAACTACAAGTACTGTTTATTTAACAAGTGTTCTATTTTTTGCTGGAACTGTTGATAATTTACTGCTGCGCGATAAGTAAGAATTACACTATAAAAGTATCTCGGAAATATAAAAAAATATATTCATATTATTTAAGGTATGGACAGTCAATTGGAGGAAAACTAGTTGTGGCTAATATTGCGTGGCCCAACCAATGGGTGATATTAATTGGTTCGTTTTTGTCAACCCTAGGTGCTGGGTTACAAAGCTTAACAGGCGCTCCAAGATTGCTGCAGGCGATCGCTAAAGATGAGATTATTCCCTTTTTGGCCCCATTCGCTAAATCATCTAACCGTGGCGAGCCAGTAAGGGCTCTACTTTTAACTATTGTTATTTGTCAATGTGGAATTTTATTAGGTATATTTTCTTAATTATTTTGCACGCTCCTCTGATACCACATATTAAACTGTCTTTTCCACAGGGAATGTTGATCTACTTGCGCCATTGCTGTCAATGTTTTTCCTCATGTGCTATGGCTTTGTAAATTTGGCATGCGCCGTGCAAACATTACTACGAACGCCCAACTGGAGACCTCGCTTTAAGTTTTATCACTGGAGCTTATCCTTGATAGGTCTTACCTTGTGCATATCAGTTATGATAATGACATCGTGGTATTTTGCACTTATTGCCATGGGCATGGCGATTGTTATATACAAATACATCGAATATCGAGGGTAAGTTCTATCTAATTTAAGGAAATATGGATTTCAGCCAGCAATCTATGCAATCACATAAAATATCTTTTAAATTTGTATTACAGAGCTGAGAAGGAATGGGGCGATGGCATTCGAGGAATGGCGCTAACAGCAGCAAGATACTCACTTCAACGCCTGGAAGAAGGCCCTCCACATACCAAAAATTGGCGTCCCCAAATTTTGGTGCTTTCAAAACTCAATGAAAACCTCCTTCCAAAATATAGGAAAATATTTTCCTTTGCCACTCAGCTGAAAGCTGGCAAGGGATTGACAATTTGTGTGTCTGTGATAAAGGGTGATCACACAAAAATTTCAAATAAAGCAGTTGACGCGAAAACAACACTTCGGAAATATATGACAGATGAGAAAGTAAAAGGATTTTGCGATGTTTTAGTTGCCCAAGAAATCGGCGAGGGTCTAAGCTCGGTGTAAGCATTTAGCTATTTTGAAACCTGTATAAATACTTTGATTTACTTTTCAACTTAGCATTCAAACGATTGGGTTGGGTGGAATGAAGCCAAATACGGTTATTATCGGATGGCCGTATAGTTGGAGACAAGAAGGAAGATATAGCTGGAAGACGTTCATACAAACAGTTCGAACTGTTGCTGCATGCCACATGGCACTTATTGTTCCCAAGGGGATCAACTTTTATCCAGAATCTAACCACAAAGTAGCTTAGTATTAATGAGTATTTAATTTTTTCGAATAACCTGTAACAAATTGTAGATTGGTGGAAACATTGATATTTGGTGGATTGTTCATGACGGCGGCCTGCTCATGTTGCTACCATTCTTGCTAAAGCAACATAGGACTTGGCGTAATTGTAAGCTTCGCATTTTTACCGTTGCTCAAATCGAAGATAATTCTATCCAAATGAAGAAAGATTTAAAAACATTCTTGTACCATTTGCGGATTGAAGCAGATGTTGAAGTAGTTGAAATGGTAACTGCAAAACTGATTTTTACTGCTTATAAAACACCTCTTATAATATTTTTTATCAGAATAATAGCGATATTTCTGCATATACTTATGAGAGAACTCTCATGATGGAACAGCGCAATCAAATGCTAAGAGCATTAGGCTTAAACAAAAAAGAAAACTCCAAAGTGGTAAGTAAAATATTCTGAGTTTCATAATTAGGTTCAACTCCTTAAAACGACATCAATTCACCTTATAATGTACATATTACATACTCTCAGCAAATATTGTTGTTATTTTTTTACATCTTCGCATAATTATTTTAATTTGTTCCAACCATTCTTTTCGGTTCCTGTTTAGAACTTTTATCAAAAAACCAGACATCTATTAAGATAAATAAAAAAATTTTAATCTTTGTATATTTGATCAAAGGTTCAAACTATTATGGATTTTAAGGAAACTCCCAGTGATAATAAGTTATCTTTGGTAAAGCTCAATATGGAATTTAGAACTTATATTATTGTATATATATTATCTTATATATATACATATACATTATCTTACATATATATCAGATAAAACAATTTGTTTTCATTCACTGTGTTTCTAGCATAATAATGGAACCTATTCCTATGCAAATTAACAAAGCGAATGTCACAATAAATAGGCCAACAACTGTATGAATATATATATATAAGAATTTATTAATGCATCTATAAGTAAATAAATAAATATATAGATATGTGCTTATACATATACCTATATATATTATGGATGTCTTCAAAATAAATAAATTCTTATATATATGCATATAAACCTAAATCCACTATAAATGTGTTAAAAAACCGTATAATGTTTTGTTTGCATGTTAAAAGTATAATGATGTATCGCCAATACCAAAAAGTATTTATGTATTAATTCTTGGCTAGGACGAAAAGCTGAGTTCATCGAACCAAGTCCGTGTGCTTTTATATCTGTTTTCTATTCATATTGAAAAGTGTCGCTGTAAAAACAAAATTTCGAGCATAATTCAGAGAGAATATGACTTATTGACATCAAATTAAGTATCTTCCTGAAAATACGTTCCGCAATTGGCGAACAATTAGTCACGCCCGAAAAAATATATAGTAAACTTATTAGCTATTTAATAGATATCCGTAGTGAGGCTGTATATAGAAAGGTATCGAATATTTTTGACTAAAAAATTATAAACTTCTTATTATTTCTTTCTTGTGTATTATTTCTTAATTTAAATTTCATATGTATACCTGTGCATGCCACGTACAATTTATTTTGTATATCCAACATTATTTTACGCCTACAAAGTAACGTAAAGTATTATTATTTCAAATATTATTTACTATTAATATTACGATATGCATCGAAAACCCAAATAGTTGTCGGCAACATGTTTATGGCTATGAAGCTGGGTTGTCTGATTAGTGGTAAATTGTTCTAACGGACATTGCTAGATCGACTCGGCTATTGATGCTAATCAAGAATATATTCACTACCTGTAACATACATTTGCACAAAAATATTATACCCCTTCTATCAGTTTTCAATGGGTTCTGTGCATAAAAAGCTTCCCAACTTGGTGCAGAGGCATATGAAATTTAAAATAAGGATATACATTTATAAATTTAAGCAAAGTCGTGGCAGGTCAATCTTTAAACAAGGTTATAAGTAATTTATCCGCTTTTTAACTGACAAACAAAGTGTTAAAACCTTATCTGTCGCTTGTATTCACGAATATTTTCCCCAGGTTGGGATTCTTCGATCTAAAAGTATCGAATTAATTAAGTTCAATTGGTTAGCTTAAAACGGTTGCATCAAAGTTTTTTGCTTACCATCCGATCGGCTTCATGAATATTTTCATTGACTTTTGTAAGAATTTATTTGATTCGTTCTCGGACGAAGGTTTATTCTTCAGCTTCAAGATTCTCACCGCAACACTTGGTTCCTTATTCGATGCACTTAAAACATATTTTTAAATAGAAGTGGATATCAAGATGGGTAGATTTAACGGGCGTGTACTTAGTGGAAAGGCAATATCTAACATTTTTAGCACAAAACGTTCCACGGCAAGGCCGGGCTATACCCGCTAGTTAAGATATAAGAGCTTCGTATATACACTTCCCTTATATCAAATTAATTCCTTTATTTCTTAAGGTTACTCAATATTAAGAATATAATATAATAGAGACCTTTTTATTCTAAATGAATGTGACACTAAGGTAATTTTGAATAACTAAATTAATATTTAAGGAGTATGAAGAGAATTACATATATATATATATATATATATATATACAATCCAATGTACGTATAAGTATGTAAATACCTTATGCATTTTCAGGTTCAAACAATTGTAGACCACCATTATGACGCCATAAAAACGGCGTCGAGAGTTCGGTTTGCCGATCCTACCATTGAAGAAATACAAAATAACGTATGTATGCCTTAAATTGTTTCGAATACATAAATGTCGAATGTTTAGTGATTAAAATTAAATGTTAAGTACAAGTAGGTTAGTTCCGTTAAATTTTAAGGTTAACGAAAAGTATCCATTGTAGATGATATTTTTTTTTCTCATAAATTTGCAGGTATTTTCATCCCAAATCTAAAAGCAATCGTTCACGTTTGTTTTATGATAATTTAAAATTTTGTTTGTCGTTTTTAATCTTCAGTTCGTTTATAAAGTTCCAGTTTCCATCAGACATACAAATTGAAAAACCAAATGTATTTTTGCTGATGAAAAATGTCATTCCGAATCTTTAATACAGGATACTCAAAATGAAGAGAAACGTAATTCTATTCAATCAGATGGTGCAGACAGCACGGAAGCACCTGATAGCAGAACTAATAAAGATGAATCAACAGAAAAACCTGACGTTAACATCAAATCCAGTGCTAAACCGTAAGCGCACTCTACTAGCTCGTTTTTCGATTAATTAACATACTTTTACTACTCGCAGGGATGAGTTCAATGTGCGTCGCATGCACACGGCAATAAAACTAAATGAGGTTATAATAGAAAAGTCTCAAGATGCCCAATTGGTCATAATGAATTTACCGGGACCTCCTCGGGAAGTAAGAGCGGAACGTGAAAGCAATTGTAAGGCATTTAACAGCTTTGAGTTGCCCACATTGTATTTATTCTCTTTTTCTTAATTAGATATGGAATTCCTGGAAGTTTTAACGGAAGGTCTTGAAAAAGTATTAATGGTTCGTGGAGGGGGTCGTGAAGTAATAACAATTTACTCTTAAAGGGCATTAATCGCCCGGTTTTTAAGAGTTCGCAACATTAGACAAGTTTAAGAATCAATCAAATTTTTAAATGAAGGTGATTATTAATTTGTTATATTAAATCATATGTCCAAATATTTTATTTTTACGTAAATAAAATATCAAAAATTGTAACAATAATTAAAATCAAATTATTTGGCTATATTTTTTACAATGTTAAATGTAAAAAATATATCCGTATTTTTATAATTTCTATATGCAACTTCAAAAAATTCGCTCCTAAGGTAAAATGTTTATATTGATTGGAGCAGCAACTCCGGCGGCAAAATCAAAATGATTATTGTAAAGCTATCTGAAATAGATGCGCTTTTGCACAAAGATTAGAAGCATACTGAAACTCGTAATTGGTAAGTTTTACTACAAATATCTCTAGATACCTAACCTCGATTTCTGCTGGCTAGGCAATTTTGGGCCTAATTTGCCTTGCAGAGCTTGTCAAATTATATAACACTAGTTTGGGTTTTCCAGGATTTTTTAGAATTTATTGCGAATATGCATTAAACTAAATCTTAATACTCCCACGATCATAAGAAGCTTAACACCTTTTCTATTATTCTATTTATATATAAGTATTATATATATATGTGTGTGTGTGTTTGTGTGTATGTGTGTGTGTGTGTGGGCCTGTGTGTGTTAGCGTATGCTTGCATATACATACATGCATTTATGTGTATATGTATGCATGCATGTTTGTTTTTTAATACCAAACACAGGCCAAGCTTATATGTCGCTGTGCTGCAATTTTAAATAAAACGAATTTCTACCAAGTGCTCTACTCTTCGATTCTCATGAATTCAAGTAGGCGCTGTAGTTTTCATGCTTAGCAGGTAGTGTAGTGCTTTTTTTTTGTCTTATTCTATACATATATTAGATTAGATTAAAAACTTTTTAAAGCACCCAAGAAAAAACTTGTTTTTTTTATGTGAATTTGTGCGAATATTTTTACTTTCAATTGTGTTATATATATGATGATCTTTTTAGTCATTCATCCTAGAAATAAGTTGAAGTTCCTTTTTTGATAGGTTGTAGGGATAATGTAAACTTGTTGGCACAAAAATTTTACCAAAAACTTGCCTAGAAGAAAAAAAGTTAGTTTTTTTAATCTTTAATTGCATCTAGAAGAAATTATTCGGCATTGCCGTGGATAAGTAATTATATGTGGACTGCGAACGCCTTCATTTCCATGTTGGGACCCAATCAGCTAACTACGCTACTAAAAATTTGAAACAAAATGTTTCGCTCTTCTCGAAGATAATCATTTTATGTTAGCAGCAACAAAACTTCTTCTTTTTAAAATATTGAAATGCTACCTATTGCTTTAATTTAATTAATTTTAATTAATTTTTAGTGTGCCATTAATATATGGACGTGGCATTGCCTAATCACAAAGCTGTGTTCGCGAAAGTTTCAATAAGATCAGACTATAAGCACCGCAGTTATTCAAGAACTTAAATCCCATGATGTGCAGCTAAGAGAAGAAGAAGCACTTACGTGCAGATTTAGTAGTAACAATAATTTACTTTACTTTGGAGTAGAGCAGCTCAACGTTGAGCATAGATAGGGTATCTCATATAATGAAACCGAGCTAAAACGGTTGGGCAACGGGTCCCAAAGCGAGTTCGTGTCGCATAAAGCGTGAAAAGGCGTTTTTGCTTTAAGTGATGTAACATCAAAGTGTTTTTTTGTTGTAGATTTAACCAACTTTGTGTTAGACTTACTTGTTGAAATTTTCCTGGTATCCCACAGTATAATCATTTGGTATGTTCGCTGCTTTAGTTAATGATATGCATTCAGGTGGGGGTATTCTCAATGCATAAAAAGGATAATCAAAGGTATTTATATAAATGTCGACGCATAGACCATGACTTCCAAGATGTAATTGACTTGCGACGGAGGGCTGGCTTAGTCCACAGCTGCCCAACATGATATTTCTGTGGCAAGAATATATCAAAGTTCCTTTATCCCGACTTGTATGAAAACATTGAACGATCTTTCCGGCTTTCGAATGGTCTATGTCAATTGGATCGAATCCAGGTCCAGCCATATCACAAGCTGAAAATGTTTCGAATTAGCAACATATGTACATATTTATCTTTCATATTTTATAAATTACTGTCTATATTTTGTATAGTAAACTGTGGCTGTAATATTCGTCCCACAGCTGATGCTAGTTGCCCACCAAAGCTGAATCCAAACAAGTATCCCCGGCTGGGATCAAAGCCGTATTGAAAAAGGGATATTACGATCGAAACAATAACTTCGGATATATACTCAAAGTTGGCGTACAACCTAGAAGATTTTGCAAAGGTATTTTATATTTTAGTTGATTTATTAGAATATACATACCTGACATAAGAGGAGCTTGCGACATAGCTGTAATCAATACATATTACACAGCCTCTGCGGTAAAAGCTCAACCCTGAAATACTAATAATATATAAAAATCCAAATATATGAAGGAAATGGCTATAATTCGGAAAGGTTAGACGACAGAACTTGGGAATTTTTATTTTTGCCTGTTATTATTGCAATTTGGTTGTCAGGCAATTGAAGCTAGATATTTGTCGTAATGTTACTAGAAAAATAAACTTACGCTCGATTAGTGCAACTGCCCATTCATCCGAACAACTTTGAATCCATCCATGAAGTACAATTGAAAATTTCTCTGATGGTAAACATCCGGATTTATCCAGTTTATTTTCTGTCAGCGGAAGATAGGTTTCCAATGTCTTTGTGTTGTTTCTAGAATCACGTACAAAGAAATTTGTATTTATTATTATATTAATAATATTAATATTATATATGTTGGGTTCTGCGCTTCCTCGCCTGTCTTTGAGATGAGGTGAAATAGTTTTTCGACCTCGGTTAACCGTGGATTGGTTATGTAGACTGCTGTGAAAATGTCAATTTACACGGGAGGGAGACTGCAGCCTCTTGGCTGTGGGCTAGGCGCGATCAGGGCCGCTGCTCTCTCTATGTGCTCATTAAGAGTAGAGGCACAAGGGTTATATAGACTGCTGTGAAAAGGTCTCGGAAAGGTCTCTGCTAAAAAATGTCAATCTCCAGAAGACTGCAGCCTCTTGGCTGTGGGCTGGGCGCAGGAGCCGCGATCAGAGCAGTTGCGCTCTCTATTTGCTCATTAAGAGTAGAGACACAGCGCTCACAAACGAAATAGCAGTGATCATATTTCGCTTGCATGGCTAGCATATCTTGCACGTTCGACTCTTCTTGCCTGAGAGCTTTGGAACAGCGCTCACACTCCTTTTCGATCCTACCCCAAAGGGCACGGACTTGGTCTAAGCGGACTTTAGTCACGGCAATGAATTCACTGAGCGCCATTTTTTGGGTGCAGGAAAATTTCAGACCTGCTGCACGAGTGGTTAGAGGACCGGATACCGAAATTGTCGGACCCCTAGCGGACACCCTTGAAGAAGTTGCTTGAATAGCTAACTTTTCTCAGGAAGGACATTTTTCACGGTTGATGACGAAAAATCTTTTTTTATCTGAGGGTGCGGACGTGATGTTGATCTTCTGTGCTGTGTTGATGGAACGGAAAGTCGTTGCTTACTGCTTTTGTCGCTCTCAATTGGCATAGTAGCTCCTAAAGAGCCTCGGACTTGAATAACAGCGGCGAAACAGAGGAAATAATTGTTTATTTTAATTATGAATAATTGGAACGATGGATTTGGTGTAATTGAAATGAAGTGGTTTTCTTATTCAAAAAAGGCGAGAATAACAGAAAAAACAAACACAATATATATATTTTATTTTAATTAATCAAATGAGATTAATTGGAATGATGGAATCGGTCCAATTTGGATGAAGTGGTGTCTTTTTTTTTATTAAAAATAAACCAAGGAAAAACAAATAATAAATAATTAGTGATTTTAATTAATCAAGTGAGATTAATTGGAATTGTATTAAAAAATTATTTATTTACACACAAAAATATTGTATTTATATATCTTTTTTTTAATATGTCATCTAATTTGGATGTGCATGTGGACGTGACTTGAATAAAAAACTTCTTCCCGAGTACAATATAATTTTCAAATACCCAAATGTAACGAGTACTTTGCAACGGGTACTTCAGTAACGGATACGTCTGATACCTTCGCTATTTCGTGTTGGTATAATGTGGTTTATTGTTTTATTATAAAACAAAAAACGATGCGGCAAATTCTAATTGTAAGGAATGCAATTAATTGCCAGATGTATTTTTGTTAGTGCCTCGTCTCAGTTTGTGGGACCCAGCAGATAGTGAGCGGGGGCTACTATGTGCAGTTTTAATATACATACATATATTTTTTGGTTGTTATGCTTTGTTAATTTTGTAGGAGCTAATATACAATAAACGTGATAATTATTCAAGTATTTCTTCTGGATGTGTGTGTTCTGCCGCTTATATATGGACATATACACATACAATGTCAATGTATAAGGTTCAGCAATATGGACAAAAAGTATGTGTCAGTAAATAATAATTATTTTTTATTTATGTGGATATGGAAATACAATTTTAGCGAGAGGTTTTTTTTTCTTTATGTGTTTTTGGAGATCCGGTTCAGATTGCAAGATTGGTATATGCATGTATGTATATTTTTTTAAGCGGACTGTATGAACTTATATATGTGTGTATGTACATACATACATACATATGTACATGCATACAGAACCAAGATGGAGGATGATGAGATTCGCTTTTTTTTTTGGGTAAATAAAAATCATATGACTATTTAGATATTCAAGCTGTGTGGTTTTAGTAGCATTACTCGAAAATAATAAGCATTAGCTATGCAAACTACGCTATTTAGACAATTGTACATTAAACACAGATCACTTTTGTTTCACTTTTTCTATTTTCTACTTAACAACCGACTTGTTGACTTTGTCTTCTTTTTGATTTAGCTGCTTAGCAAATGATTCAATTGCTGAGTACTTGTATATTTCATCCCAATCAGATGTTGGCCGATTATCTACACTGTACTTATTCAGAGTCTTTGGAATGGAAGCGGCATTTGAAAAATTTGACCTCGAGCCGGCCAGTTTTTTGTTTGTTTATAAATTATAAAATACACATATGGACAATTAACTGCAATCACTTACTTATAGAATTGTATTGCCAAAGTTTTGCGTACATCAAGTCGTATTCCTCTTTGTTGGTTAACTTGCGAATTTATTTATTTATTAAAGATATAATACGCGAAAAAGCATCGCACCTACCCAATGTTTCGTTCTGTAGGCCATATATATTTCCGTTATGTCGTTGATCTAACTTTGAATGAACCTTATAAATCAAAAATGTCCAAATTATAATGCGAGTCAAAAATAAATATGGATTATTTTCAGAATATTTCTTTATAAACGTTATTTTATAATACATATTTAAAACAATCATATAACTCAAACTTAAATAATGTACAATACAAGGCACACAAAACTTATTTTGAGAAATAAATAAGTTGTTACTAGTCGAATTCGTTAGTTTATCAAATTTGATAAATTTGATTGTCAACACTTTCATACTCAATATACTTTTGCTGAATCCATCGGAGAATTAAAATTTCAATTAATTTTGTAAAGAAGCTAAATTTTATGACTCTAGCTATAACCTAATCAGAATTTCTAAATCGAGTCCAAGCGATTGCTTAAAAATCGGAATCTTGTACCGCGCGGGCACCAGACGGACCTATGTTCAAAATTTCAAGTCTCTTGCTCTTACAAGTTCTGAGATCCTTGAGTTCATACCAACATACGGACGGACGGACGGACAGACAGACGAAGGTGGTTAAATCGACTCGGCTTGGGATGCTGATGAAGAATATATCTACTTTATGGGGTCGGAGATGCTTCCTTCTGCTTGTTACACAAATACATTAAAGCCTTCTTCCTTTAATGGGTTCAGGGTACAAAAAATACGGTTGAGAAAATCACAAATTAGTAATTAACAGCAAGTATCAATGATAGATAATTGATAGATTGAGATCCTGCTTAGAGCAGGTTGGTCCTATTGATCTGCTTAAATAATCCAAGAATATCTCAGAAAGAATTAAAATTGCAATAGAAATAGACGGAAGGGATAACAATTGCGTAGGTAGCGTCTTGTGCTATACACAATTTTAAAGATATGAAAAAGATAACATAAAAAATAAGAGATTTATGCTGTCACGAGCATCCTTTAATGGGAGGTCCTTTGTCCAGACAAATTGACGTCTTATATATGTTGTAGTTACATAAACGCTTTGTGGTCTTATTCTCCTTTTTATATATTGCTTGAAGAGCTGCATTCTTAACTGACTAACTAAACAAGTGAACAACAAGTATATCGATTGAAATTTTAATTCACCAAAAATATATTTTTATTACATATACTTATTATACACAACTTTTGCAGTTGAAACATCAAGGCTATATTTTACTGATTGGGACAGTCATTTGGGGACTGTTTTTTGCTGCCAACAGGTTTGGTATGACCCTCGTTCTCATCATCGTCGTATTCATCTTCTTCGTTTTCAAATTCCTCATCATCGTCGTCGTCTTCATCATCGACAATGTCCCCCGTATAATAAAGCACCGCTTTCGGAATAATCCTGGCGCGCAAAAAGTGACCGATTTCATAATCGGTGGCCAATATCTGTAGATGGATGAGCATAGTTAAAAAAGAAAAATCCTAAAAACAGAATATAAAAATCTTACCTGCTGTGATTCATCATCGATTTCATCCTTATCAGTTGAAACCTCCGGTGGATTAAAGAAATTGAAAAAGGAATCTGTAGGAACCTGTTTAACAATAGTGCGCACGGCGCCACGTTCCTTGTGCTTCTGCTTCTTTCGGATGGTCTTAACAGTTAAATTCATTTTCTTTTCCCAATTAATAACGCAACCCTTGCATTTATAAATTTCCGGGCCTTCGAATGCAAATGGATCTTCTGGGTCAACAGAAGATTTAAGGAAGTATTGCTTCGTAAGTACGGTATTAGAGAAATATTCATTTTTGTCGAAATGAAACTCTAAAGTATACGAATGCTGAAAACGAAAAATGTTCATAATTTCATTTCATTTGTAATAATTAAAAAAAAAGTTATACATTAAATTTTTGTTCAACTATTTGCTTTCAAGTTGTGATTAGATACTTGAAAAACAAAAGCTGAAAGAATTAACTGCAACGAGAAAGTAAGAATATCTTCGACACGTCGAAGATTTAATATCTTTATATATATGTGAGAATAGTTAAGCTCGTAAATGCAGAGTTTGAAGAAAATATCATGTGAAACAAAATATTTAATAAAGGTTTCCATACCAAAACCTACTTTTCGACCGATCGTTCCTATGGCAGCTTTACGGTATAGTGGTCTTATCTAATCGGTTCCAATGAGAGACTAGTTCGCATAAAATGAGACAGACAGACGGACATGGCTTTATCAACTCGATCAGGAATATATCTATATACTTCATCGGGTCGGAGATGTTTCCTAAGATTTACAAATTTTAGGAAAAAATATTATATTATCCTCTAAAAGGCAACATAATTTCGCCAATTTAGTTATACTTCAAAGGAATACTATGTGAATAATTTCACAAGTACACCAGATATATGGCAAAAACTTTGGAGCATATTATAATAAGAAATACAAATTATATAGCTATGGAGTAAATAAATTAAATAGGCGCCATAGACAGACAGACCTGGCATTGCCAGATTAGCTTATGGCAAAGCAGATAGTTGATTAAATGGTCTACGTACTTCATTATCATATTTAATTACAATATCCGTGAGCTTGCGAATAGCGGGTTCATCGTGAGTCTGGACCATTTCAGACAACATTGCTGTGTTTCGGAACACAGTTAGCCAAAAGTCTGGGATGCCCTTTGCATCTTGAGGCATTTTTTTGATGGATTTAAGAGATTCACGAAATCCATCGCCCACTTCTCCATCGGTCGGTACATTCTCAGGCTCCTTCCAATTGGGCTTCTCTTCGGAAGGATCTACGTTGCCGACAACAATTTCTTTGCGCTTATCAAACATAGGTTGGTATTTCAATTGATACTTTTTCTCCAACTTATAAACCTCGTCAAAGAACTCGGCTTCAATTTTTAGATGTTCCAATTGCAAGTTCTTCAGTACAACAATCCTGTTTTGAACGCCTAATGGCAAGGCCTTCACCATTTCTTGCAAAAACTGCCGCCGTAGCACCGAGTTCATGTAGGCTGGCCTGTCGTCGAGTGGGTGAATAAAAATTTAAATATCCAAAATGTAAGAAAACAAAAGAAGGTTTAATTACATGGATTGACAGTCCGAAACTGACTTATCATCTTCAATTTCATTACACGACTCAGCATCGACATTTCCTTCCTGTGGAGCATCCATTCTGAATAAATACGAGATTCTGAAACACGCATACACGTGCATATTAATATAGTTGAACTCTTCGATTTGAAACAGTAAAATGCTGACACATATGCACACATGTATATGTGAAAGTACATTTTAATAAGTACGTACATACTAAAATCTCATATATTAATGTGTATCGAAGCACACATCGTAACACATTTTAGGTCAAACATAAACAGATACGTAATAATGAAAAAATTTCGTTGAGCGAGAACAAAAAAACCAAATGCGTATTCCATGCCATGTGTAATCGTACATTCCTTAGGACTAAAGCACGTGTGAGATGGTGCTTAAAATTGCCAACCCCCATTTCTGTGTATTACAATTGTATAGCACAGGCAATGACTTTTAATCAATTAAACAAGCTTATTCCTTAATATACAAAAGCGTTTTCGTACGAAAATATGATTTTTAAGACGACATACCTTCAGACAAAAAGTTCAATCGAAGAGCACGCCGCAACAATGTCGGCCCAAAAGAATTAATTTGGCTGCGCAGGGCTACCTGTGAATAAAAACTATAAAATAATTATATACATTGCGTCAAACCATTGCACCTAAAATGTAAGACATCAAAATAGCGTCGACAGTTGGACAGGGGAAAGTTACACGAATACTCTAACGGTTGTAGCAATTGAGCTTGATTTAACTCAATAATATCAAACAACAAAAAGATCTATAAGAACACAGTCATCTCCAATCAGAAACGGCTCTTTGTTTTTTTTTTAAACTGTTGGTAGGTTAAAAAAATATTATCAATGCAAATAATATTTGTTTGTGTAATTAATATTATATCAGAATTATTTTAGGTTCGTTCTGGCTACCAATAAGTGTTCAGTAGCATTCAACATCGCAAAAAGCAAAACTTTAACATAAGGAACACTTCAATAAATAACTATAATATAAGAAATTTAAAATCTATGAAAACATATTGAATATTAACGGCTTACTTATTTCTATATACAAGATCACATTTATATATAATATTTTAAATTTCTTACTCTTTGTTCATGTAATTTATGGAGCATGAAGTGAATATTACGTGAACACTTCTTAGACCCACAAGTTATTTATCGAAGTGTTCCTTATGTTAAAGTTTTGCTTCTGCTTACTCAACGGATCATCCTCGGCTTGCAACTATCTACTAATGAGCATTATATAGTATATAAGTATATAAACATGTGCGCGTACATGACCTGCCAGAAAATGATTCCATGCACACTTGGCAACGTATGCTTACCAAAAATAACCATGGCAACCCTTTTCAATTATTCATGTGAGTTGAGAAAAATTATATTGTTTGGCATACTATCTGTAGACAATAATGAGAACACTGAGAGTAAGCTACATGAGTTTTCTGTAGTGGGAGCAGAACAAAAATCAGCATCTAACTGTATTGAACTCTGTGTGAATAGGATTTTGATATTACTAAAATGATCGTCTGGCTGCTCTTTAGTAGATAGTTGCAAGCCAAGGATGATGCGTTGAGTAAGCACGAAAGTGGATATGTCTACACCCTTTCGTAGAAATTTTACCGTACAAGGGTGATATTCTGGAGAGTCCAACGTGTCGATATTTCGAGAAAGATAATCCGACGATAATTCGTATAGTGACTTTATGACTTAATTTAGCATCTAAGTCCGGCAACATTATTCTTTGTCAATTATTCGTGTGAAATCTCCTATATGGACATAGTTCAAAACTTCCCACCTCCATAATTCGGGCAAATCTCATCCGAATTCCCCGAGATTTGGCTATTTGTTCATGTTTTGGCCTCTATATCAATTTGCCATCTAAATCTGGCAACATTATTCTTGGCCAAAATTCATGTGAAAAATGTATCTTTAAATATCCTCACCTCCATAATTCGGTCAAATCTCATCCGATTTTCACGAGGTTTGGCTCTTTGTGCATGGTTTGGCCTCTATATCAATTTGGCATCTAAATCTAGCGTCATTAATCTTGGTCAAAATTAATGTGAAAAGTTTA